TGTGCAGGCCCACGCGGTGTCGCCGTGGCTCCCGCTGGGGACGGTGCTGTGCCGCGGTGGGGAACACTGCCTGTCATTCAGACCTACCGTCCTCAGTGCTCGGTTTTCGTGCACCCGAGCGCGTTGGGTGGCAGGCCTCGGAGCGTGCAGCGAATGCGCTCACCGCGTTCGTGCCGAGGGTGCACTGCTAGCAGGCGGGTGTGACGGTGCAGGTAACCAAAAGTACCTGCTTAGGTAAGGGAACTTGCTAAGTGTGCGAAGAAGAGATGTTTCAGGGCAGTACTACAATGAGAATGAAAAATAGTCATTTTTGTATAACTTTTTAGGTGAAACTGTGCTTGTGGTGTTGACTAGATGGTGACATATGAGCAAGTCAAATAACTTGGAGTAGGCTTCAATTTGCTGGTTAAAACTAGTGATCATATTTTTTTTGTCTGTGGGTGCTATTTTTTGCTACAGTAGTGGTTATTTTCTGTTATGCTTTTTTCTGTAGCAGATTAGAAAATGGAGCTGTAACTGGGAAAACGAGTTACTAATGTGGTTAAAATTCTATTTGCATCCAGACCAATAAAATAAGCTAGGCACGGGATTGCTGTGTGGGGACAGATGATGCGGTGAGCAGTGTTTGGGGGAAAACCAAATGTCTACCCTATGTGCTTTTGTTCTTGCATGCATATCAAACCTGCTGTGTCCATGGGATGTGCAAACTGTCTGCAGGTGAGGTTGAGTCCAATATTAAAAGACTATGAATAGAAATGTGTTCTGACTCAGTCTTAAGTAGCGAGAGTTTGAAAATACTTCTGTCTGGTGTCAGCAGGAAGGAGGAAAAAGAAGTAGAAACAGAGAAAATAATTCATCAGGAGAAAACTGAACCCAGCCTGATCTGTCCCCCACCACGCAGCAGAAACTATCTTCCTCCAGAGGATATACAGAGCTGCCTTGAGTCTCATGTTAAGGAGATTTTTGGACCCTCGCTTCCTGGTAATTGGCAACAGACACCCCTCAAAGAGAACAGGTTAAAGTATCGCCTCCTGGCTCAGCTGGCAGCAGAGCTTGGTCATGCTGTCCCTAATTCACAGCTCCACCAGATGTGCAGTGCTGAGGATGTCTTGAATTTCTATCGCACTCCTGTGAAGGACGTGTCCAAGTTTGATGAACTGTGCGCTGCAGAGCTACCCCCAAACCTGAAGATTATCTGGGAGCAATGAGTCGCACCGTAAAGCATTTCTTTGCTTTGCTTCTGTTCATAAGGCAGGACTGCAGAGCAGAGGCAGAAGCCTTTCATTGTGGTAGCAACTAAATATAGGACTATCACTAATAAAAGTTCATTTTGGTTGTCCTTGGGTTTCATTGTTTCTGTTTATTACCTATAGAAAACAACGCAGAATTTCTCCTTGTGAAACAGTGATGCGGTGTGGTTGGTAACGGTACTGATGTATGCTTTCTGGCCTTTACCGTGCTGCCCAACATTTACAGGGTCAAGTGGTGATAAACGGGGGAGACCAACACCCCAGTTTCTTCTGGGCACCTCATAAACTTGTCTTCAGTTCTGAACTGTGCAGTGGGTTTTTGCGAGTGCAGTTTGGCTGTGTCAGGAGCCCTGTTCAGCTCAGCCACCACGGCTAGTGCGACCAGCAAACTCTTCAGGTAGGAGCAGGGAGGTAAACCAGCATCTTTTTTTTTTCTTTTTTTTCCTTGAAATTGAAAAGAAGATGCTGTCAGCAATAAGGTTTTAAAAAAGCCATCGCAGGTACCTTTTTAAAATAAACCCACTTGGTCTGCTTAAAATTGCTACATGAAGGTAGTGCCAAGTGGAATTGGGAAATCTCTTTACTTAGTAATGGTGAACTCTCTAACAGCCCTATAAAAAGTTGAATTGTTCCATTTCTGTTGAAGGACCCCGTTTTTATATTTTTAAGTTCTGTTGCTCCTTCTAATGGCTATTAGTTAGTTTTTCTTACATGTTAGCTGTATTTTAGTTTTCCTGTAGCTATGGGAACATGTAATAGCTATATGTTAGTTTTTCTCCCCCTGTAACTGATGATGTAGATTTGCTTTTAATCAGAGGAGGCACACAGTTAACTCAGGAGGACAAGAAAATAAATGCAACAGTCTGAAAAATGCGTGGTGGTGTGTGAATGTTTTCTACAAAACAGGTTGTTTACAGTGAGGTTAGATTGTGTATGTGTGCTCTCTCTGGGAATGACCCAGAAATACCCTGGTTATAACACTCCTTCTCCTGAACCCTCGCTTCCCTGGTTTCTTTTAGCATACAAATACCTGAAGCACACTTACAAACTGCTGCTTTTGTGTGTTACAGTCCTCAGTTTCTTCATTCAGCAAACTTCTCAAGTGCTGCTTTCTTCTCGTAGCTCTGAAGAAATTTAAGAAATCTATTCTTTTCTCCTTTTGACTCTTGGGGAATTACAGAATAGCGTAAGTGTACTAGTACATGATCCATTTCAGGGTGAGCGTGAGGGAACTGGGGGTGTTTCACTGGTCACTGTAGAAGGCTGGCTGTTCACAAATCCCTTCCCTGTAGCTTATGGAAAAATGCAGTGTGATAAACAGCTAAATCTGTGTTATCTTGTCTGCTTCAGAGGCTGTTTGGGAACAATGAATTGGAAGTATTTTTTTTTTAATGAAATTGTGTCTTCTTTCCATCAAAGGAGAGATAACTTATGCCTCCTTGTTTCCTCTACTCAGTACTCATTATCTAAAAAACCACTTTGGGTGCTAGTTGCACTTTCTGCTCATCCCTCCTGTGTCTCTCCCAGTACATAACTGTCATAGCTCATGTAATGTGATCAGAAGAGAGAGTGCAAACCAGAAGACTGAAAAATAGGATAAGCAAGAAAGGAGTATGACAAGAACCTTGAGTCATGTTTTGCTGTGTCTGAGTTGAGTCAAATTGCCATTTCCTTCATGTCAGATACTGTAGTCCCTCTGGGGTGCAAACCTCACGCTTCCATCAGTACACCTGTGCAGGAAGCTGCAGGGGCTAAAGTACAAGGGAAGAAGATCAGACATGGGCATTTGAGATGCAAAACTTTCAGCTGCTTGTAACAAGCTGAAAAAGCCTAAGTCTGAAATGAGATCAAAGTCTTGCACAGAACACCACCTGTGCCATGAAAGGGCTAAGACTTCTAGGTGCTTAAAACACTTTTTTTTTTTATCCTTGGGCTTTCAAAAGTATCCAATTTCTATTGAATTCAATTATAAATAAATAAATAAAAGCCCTGCCTATGCACTTTCAAGAGGGCTGATCTTCATTTGTTTGGGTCAGAACCAGCAGAGAAGATCAGAAGAAAATGTAAAGAAGCTGGGTTAGGAGGGTGTTTCTTAACGGAGAGACTGGATGCCAGGCATGCTGGTGTCTCCACGAATGAGGGAAAACTGCAGTGCTCCTGCACGTGTACAACTGGCTGCAGGAGGCTTGTTCTACACCACCACATCTGCCAGCCTGTTGGGACATCAGCGAAGTCTGCCCATTTGTTTGGGGGAGGATGAACATTGTATTTCTAATGCTGACCTCCCGTTTCGATGAGAAGTGCCAATTTTCCCTCTGCACAGGTACATGATTAAGACGGGGCAGGTGTTTTCATGATCCCAAGAGTCGCATTCCAGAGCCTTTGCACAGCTAAGAGGCACAATCAGCACACACTGGGAGGAGCAAGCTCTGCAGGGGTGCCCATGCCCCTGTCAGACGTGAGTTAACTGGGAGGCAGAGAGAGGCCATGGCCATCCAGCTGGGGGACCCCCCAAGCAGGAGGGTCAGACACTGCTGCCAGTCACATTATGTAGGCCAGGTTCATACCTGAAGTGCATGAAACTGCACACAGCCCAAGGGCCACACATCCCTCTTAAGAGACAATCCAACTGCAATGTGTTCAGTTTATGCAGTTGGTTGTAATGCTGGACTACAGAAGCCACTGTTACCTGCCTAAGCTCACTGTACACAGCATGTAGAAAATGATGTGCCTCAGAACAGGAACTAAAAAAAAATAAAAATCCAAAGTCTACCTAAAGACTGATTTTTCACTGCGTCACAGATTCCAGGAGGTAGATACACATTGCTCCTCAAGAGAAAGGTACCTGGGAAAAGCGAATGTGCTGTCAGTTTTAGACTTCCTGTGCAGGGGGTTGTCTGTCAACTGGAAAAGGCTGTGAGTACTATAAATATAAAATGGTAGCAAATACATAGAGCTAGCCAAGAGGAAATGCAGTGAACGTGTGTGACAGGTGTAGCTTCTTCTAACCAGTTGTCCAGAACTTTGGCACTTGCAAACAAGCATGCATACCCCTGTGGATCTGCATCTACCTGCAGACCTCTGCTGGGTGTAGGCATCCTTACATACCATGTCAGAGAAGACAGCAGGGATCACTTGCTTATTTCGAGGTGGAGAGACGTGCCCCTCACCATGCTGCACTGTAACTGGAAGGATAAAGCAGTCCTTCAGGAAGCAGAAAATCGAGATTCAAATCCTTCAACCTGGAGGACGGGGAAGAAACTCAAAACTCCATCTTCCACCTTCAGAAGGACTACCTGTGCCAACATGCTAGAGGATAAGCAGATGGGGACAACATCACTACCAGTTCTATGGAAGTTACCAATGAAGAATGCAAGGTTCACGTTGTAGTAACAGCACAGTTCAGAGGAGCACAACCCGAGACCACAACTGCAAAAATAGGCTACAGAATATGAAGTTTTTGTCTTAGGATTCAACCCCTTGCTAACCCTTTGCAGTATGAGTGGCCTTGTGTGCTGATGACTGGGCGTACTGATTGGAGTATTCATTTCTGATGAGCTTTCCTAACATGTAATTATTCTCCTAACACAGCAGTACAAGGTCTGGTTCCACAGCCAAATTTGTTCAGCAGAAATTTCCCCTGTGGAATTTGGATCAAAGCTGTAGTGACAGACCCAGAACACTATTGATGGTTCCTCATGGTCACAGAAAGCCTGCATGGCCCATGTCTGATCCTTACATTCCTAAGACTGAAGCAGACATCAGTAGAATCAGAAGAAAATACCAACCTGAAAGAAACACCAGAAGACCAGACACAAACATACATCCCAAATTTTCCTTGTGTCACAGGCAAATGGCAGAGACTAGGCTACACATTTTGGTTTTTTGATAATTTTTTTTGCATCTGTTTTGGAAAAAATATACAAAAAAAGCCAAGAAGAACCAACATGGAAATGTGAGGTAAACATTCCAGTAGAAGTACAGACAGAGGCTCCATTCTTTAAAGGAGACACACAGCAGTTATCACCATGCTAGAAGAATGAGATGCAGAAAAATCCTAGAAACAGTGAGAAGTCATGTAATGAAGCCTTTGCCCCAGTTCTAGCCATTGTAAATGGGCTCTTTTTTGTTATCCCCCCCACCCCTCACCCACACTTGTCTTTTTATTCCTTTAACAAAATTGTTAAATTGTAAAATAGGAGTTTTTATACAAGTTCTGTACGGCAGAATTTACAAAAATGCAGACTGCTACTACAGACTGTGTCAGGTTTTGGTTTTTGTTTTTGGTTTTTTTTTGACTTGCCAAAGCCCCTCAGTGAAAACTACACTGTCTGGGCAAAATTGGCTTCTTGGTTACACCAATCTGAATGCCATGTAATGCCGCTCCACTGAAGAAGTGGTGTCACTTTACCTTTGCACCAGTGTTACTAGTTACCCCACAAATCTATGATGAAGATATGAAACACTTAAAGCGCAGCCTCAGCTCCACAGTGGTGGCTGTATATCCCCATAGTCAATTCCTGAAGCCAGGTTTCACTGGGAGGTTTAGCTGGGCCTTGAGGAGGAACAGAGATCTAGGGAGATGATACAGTCAGCTCACATGCTATCAGCTACTACTATAAATTTTTATCTCCAGTCTGTCTATATTGCAGCCTTAGTACGTTGTTTAGTTATTCTTCAATAACTAGCACAATCACCCATATCAGAACAATCAGGCTTTGATTCAGTAAGATGCTTAAGGACATACTTCAAATCTGCCAAGTAGTCTGGAAACTGGATGGCTAACTACAATCCATAATGCTAAGGTATGCTCAAGTAGCTCACTGAATCAAGGATGGATGCTTATTACTTGTTGATAGTATCATTCAGGTTAGATTCCTGATCACCAGTATTTTAATCTGAATAAATATATGCAATTACTTCAGATCTATGCTGAGCTTTCTCAGATCAGAATCTGA